TTAAAAGCCTTCTGGAACAGGAAGGTTTTGACCTGGCGGCGAAATGTCATCAATGTCGGCACCAGACAAATTTCACTGTGTTCCCCAACCACCATATTTGGGACCTCTTGCAATAATCATCTTCTTCCTTGCATCTATATTTGTCTTCTCCTTTTATTGTCTTCTTCTCCAGAATTGCATTGATTCTTCATTTAGACCTTTCACTTTTCCTCCTGATAACACATATTTGGGATATGTGTATAACAATGTGTTCAACGGGTTGTTTTCACCAAACCCATTCTGGCTTCTCCCTTTCAGATCATGAACGGTTTCAAGGCGATGGGTTTCCCTCATTGTGTTGGCGTCCTGGACAGGACTCATGTGCCTTACGTTGCCCCGACAGGACAGGCCGAGGAATCCGTCAACCGCAAGAAATGCTACTCTATTCTGCTTCAGGGCACGACGGACCACACGGGCCGATTTATTAACGTGGAAGTCAAGAAGAACGTGGAAAACATCTTCTCCAGGTCCACCTTATGCCAGGCCATGGACGCGGGAACGTTCGTTCCGGGCCACCCTACGATCACCCTGGGCGGGGTGGAGGTCCCGCCGCTCGTCCTGGCCGACAGCACCTACCCGATGCGGAAATGGCTCTTGACCCCCTACGAGGAGGAACTGGAGGAGAGGGAGAAAGTGTACAACCAGGCGTTTGGCCGCTGCCACAGCCTGGTGGGGCGGGCCCTCGGCCGCTTGAAAGGCAGGTGGCAGCGCCTGACAGCCCGGCTGCCGGTGGCGGAGGATAACGTGGTGGCGGTGGTCACGGCCTGTGCCGTGCTGCACAATATTTGCGAGCTCAAGGGACACGCAGTCCAGGAAGGCCTGGAGGCGTCCGACAGCATCATGCTGCCCGAATACGACGAGGAGCCATGTCCGTACAGCCTTCGAGACGTCAGGAAAGGGGAGCGTGTTCGCGAGGCGATCACGGATTTTCTGACTGAGAACCACCGCAGTTGACTGGGACTCTTCCTGTCGTTTAGATTTCTGTGGATACGCGTTCTTTTCAATAAAAATTACTTGATAGGCTTTGTTACCGATGCGTTTCGTGAAGGCCAACACACACACACACACACACATATTTTTTCTACTGGTTGGAACTCTTTTCTTGCCAAGTCTTGTCAGATTGTTGATATGTGCTGTCCAGTCCTCTTTGACATATGTTGATCCTGTGTAGAAGAGATCTCCAAAATGTCCTCTCCTGAACAGCTCAGGTCTTGTAAACTCAAGCCTGTGGCTTCCTTTAAGGAGTCTGTCCATCATGTATTTGGTTTTCCTCTTTTCCTGCTGCCTTCAGCCTTTCCCAGCATCATGGTCTTTTCTAGCGAATCTTGACTTCTCACAATAAGCCCAAAGTTTCAGAATAGGATCGATCAAACTTTCCTTTGTTCTGCTCGATTCGTAGCTTTGTGAGGGGAAATGGCTGCAAGCAATAGTAGAGACCTGTGCAATAGAAGTTTTTAGCAGTGGTGTAAGTACATAAGAGGAGTTATGCAAGATCGGACTAAAGGTCCATTTGAGTCCAACGCTGCATTCCAAAAAATAGCCGGCCAGTTGTCTATAGGAAGCCCACCTGCGGCATACAAGCCCACCTGTCTCTTATTCCTCAGCAACTGATAATGCAGATGTATACCTGCCACTGGTGCTGAATGGGATAGATAATCACCCTGATTAAAGTCCCTGATGGCTCTGATCTCCATGTACAATCTAATTCTCTCTTGACGCCATCCAGGTTGGCAGCCATGGTTAAATCTTGTGGCAGAGAATTCCACCATCTCACGTTGCCCTGTGTGAATGTAGGGTATTAATTTTTCCTGCATTCTGAGAATGAACAATGCTGAGCACTCAGCGTCTCAATAAGTCACTCTGAAATACAGTGGTGCCTTGCTTAACGATGTCAATTGGTTCCCGAAAAAACATCGCTATGGGAAAACATCGCTAAGCGAAACACCATTTCCCATAGGAATGCATTGAAAACTGGATAATCCGTTCCAATGGGAACGGATTACCGTCCTTAAGTAAAAATCGCCATAGGAAACATCGCTAAGCAAAACGCGGTCCCCCCATTGGAATGCATTGAATAGGTTTCAATGCATTTAAATGGTTTTGACAAGTCCGTTTTCACTATTTTTAAAGTGACTTAAAATGTTCAAAAACTGTCATCGCTAAGCGAGGCAAGGTCCCGAACATCGCTAGGCGAAATTTCCCCATAGGAAACCGCTAAACGGAGCACAAAATCACTCCAAAAACCTCATCGCTAAGCGAATACATCGTTAAACGAGGCAATCGCTAAGCGAGACACCACTGTATTTGTATGAGAAAGACTACAAATATTTCATGACTTACGGTGACAAATCAACAGCAAACTAACAAACAAGTCTGCTTCCAAAAGATTAGAAGAGGGGCGGGACTCTCTTTTAATTCAGAAATGAGTGGGAATGATTGGTTAGATTGACAGTCACCCCAGCCCAGAAAAGCGCCTCCCAGTCACTTCACCTATAGGCAGCATACGAGGTTGTAAAAACTCCCAACATATTTACCATTAATGGCTGTGTCTGTCTAGGGCATGTCTGACTAGGGCTCCGAGGATCTGGGTTCTAATCCCCTAAATGGCCATAGAAAATCATGGGCAGTGGAGTGGCACTGGGAAACCACTTCTTGAACTTCTGACATGCCTTGAAAATCCTCTTAGGGCCACTGTAAGTCAGAAGAAACTTTGCAATACATAACCAGAAGCAGGAGACGACATTTAGTTGGTTAGAAAGGGAATTAAAAGGCAGACTAGCAGTCAGCTCTAGTGGCTGGATAAAGTCTCATAGCAATAGAAGATCTCTATAATCGTCCAATGTAGACTTGCGGAACGATGGGATGAATCTGAGGAATTTCAGATCCTTAGCCATAGATCAACGGTGTGATTGTGCTTTCTGTTTGCCTTGTGGTTAGTGGTCGGTTGTCGGGGAACTGTTCTGAAGCCCAGTAAAGTCCACAATAACAACAAGGCCCCACAACCCGAGGATTATCACCACAAACCATCAGTCATGAAGCTACGTATTTATTTATTTATTTAATTTAATTTAATTTATATCCCGCCTATCTGAATCACATCGGACCACTCTAGGCGTGGTAGGGTGGGTTGAAATCTGAAAGCCCTCAAAATGTTTCTGTAGCTACTTGGCAAAGGGATCGGATGCTGCTTAAAAACAACAACAAAAACAACACTATTGTATCCTAGTTAGTTGGGCCTAGGAAAATATTTTCTGCATATTTTACAGGGTTCCCCTAATTTTCCTGCAATGGGGGCCTCCCCACTAACCTACCCTTTCTTCTGCCTTTCACCTTTCCAATTACTTGACAGCTTAACATTTTCACACCCTGTCTGTCTGGAAATTTACAAGAGAAAACCTATTTTTTTCTTCTTTTTAGGATCCGGTGAGTTTTGAGGAAGTGTTATATATTTCACAGCAGAGGAATGGGATGTTGCGGATCCAGGCCAGAGGGTTCTGTTATGGAGAGGTGAAATTATAAAATGGTGACTTCTCAGAGTACAGTAAGAATTCCATTCATTCATTCATTCATTCATCCATTAAATGTTTATATTTTTTAAATTGCCCCATTGTAGTGAACAAGTTCTCTCCTGGTGGTCTGCAGACAGCTACGATATAATATTATAAACAACAGGAACACAACCAGCAATTAAACAAATTACTAATCGACAGAATATAATAAATAAATAAAAAGTTACATAATTAAATGAAGACAATTAAATTAAAACTGACCCCAGTCTGTTCAGGACATGACCTTTTAGAGACCCGTTCTTTCATAAGGTTGCCACAAGTCACAAGCAACTTAATGGCAAGCAACCCTGACAGAGTGAGATTTACTTCTGAGTAGAAATTTGCAACATTTAAATATATTGATCCCAAAGAAGGGAAGGGGAAACCACTGGAAAAGCCCTGTACAACTGGAAAAGCCCTGAAAAGGGTCACCATCAGAAGCCTTCACCGTTAATTATGCTGGACAGGAATTATGGGAGTTATAGTCCAAAAACAATCTAGTGACCCAAGGTTGGGAACGATTGCTTCCGAAGAGACCTAAAGAACACGTGTACTGTATGGGGGGGAGGGGTTCTACTCTGGTCCCCTTTTAGGGTTAACTGGACCAGCGAGTGTCATTTCCTAGAAAGGCAGGAAACGGGAGGAAATAGAGGAGCCAAAGGGGGCATCGGACCTTTTCCTGTCCGCCACCTTTTTTCTCCCGTCCTGGAAACAGAAACTGGTGTTAAGTGACCCTTGGCTTGTTTGAAAGGATCTGCCAGAAATACAGTAGATGCAAACTTCGCGCATTGGGGAGTTGGCATGAAAGAGTCCCCGGGTGTGTGTGTGTGTGTGTGTCTTTTCTCCCTTCCATCCTCTACAGAAGCCTTAGTCAAAGGCAGGAGAGGAGTTTCTCCTTTATCAGATCCGAGAGCCCTCTGGCATCTACAGTAGTTTCCAACAGTGGGCGGTCAAAAGAATGTCATTGCAGCTCTTAAAGGGCGACCCTTTCTTTACACCAGGAGAAAGGCAGGATATTAATCAAAATGGAATGTATAAGCTTATTCATTTTCATCTGGCATAAGCATTCATGGACCACAGCATACTTCATCCTGGTCAATACTGAGCTAACCAGCTAGTATGATGCGCTAGAATAGACCCCATGACCACCACACACAAAAATGAATTTTTTTAAAAAAAAACGTTAATTTTGTCTGGTGGGTGCTTATCAGAAATTAACGTTTTTTTTAAAAAAAATCTTTGATTTTTGTGGGTGGTGGTCGTGGGGTCTATCCTAGTCCATCATGCTGGCTGGCTAGCTCAGTGGTTGAGGTCTCTGGTTGCAGGTTGAGAGTTAAATCCACCCTCCTTCGCCAGAGAGAAGAGCCAGCCTGGGTGGCCTTGGGCCAGCTGCACAATCCCAGAAATACCCCCAAGAAGAAAGGAAGGGAAAAACCACTTCTGAGTATTCCCTACCTGGAAAACTCTAGAAAGGGTTGGCATGAGTCAGAATTAATTGGATGACACAGGATTAAAAAAATTAAGGTATTTTCCGCATTTGACTGCATAGCTCTCCTTATTTTATTTTTTTTAAATAAAAAAATCCAGCTCCTTTCACAATTTGAAAGAACAGCAGTGGATATCCTTCTCACGGCCAGGAGTCTTGAGAAAGAGGCGCAACATGAATGTATTTCGTACTTTGACTCATATTGAGAGACCGAGAAAGGTAGAAAGAGCAGCTCTGCCTGCTCCTTAGTGTGCAATAGAAAACAAAGGGAAAGAGCAATCTGTGTAGCTGCTTTCTCAGTGTGGATTAGAGATTTAAACTCAGAATCCAGGTTTATGAAGTTGTAAGAGTCCATCTGTCACCTCCAGTGTGGCTAGAATGAAGAAAAAAACAGCTATTTAAAATTGTGCAAAGATTTGTAACCATATGAAATTAATTCAAATCACAATTTAAATCATGATTTAAATTTAAAATAACAGATTTTTGATTATTTAAATTAAAAATGATCTTTAAAAATTAAATTGTGATTTAAATCCACTTGATTTTTTTTAAAAATCACTGATTTTTTTTCACCCTGTTTGAACTAGCTCCCCACCCCCAGTACTCACCAGGGTAGACCTTAAAGACACCCTCACACGATAGAAGGGTTGTGAGACTACATGGAAACTCTTGTTTGAAATTGTGCAAGATCAGATTTTTAAAAAGGAACAATACGGCAGTGCATGAAACTTCACCAAGTCTTGGCAATAAAAGTAGTAAACACTACCTTAATTCACTGAAACACACATAAAAATGGCAGGAAACATAATAAAAAGTATTAGTTGTTTGGCAAATCAATCCATATGCCTACATATGAAAATACATACATAGGCATACTCAAGTTTGCAGATCTGTGGAAAACTGAGAGTTACCGTAATTAAAGGTTCCTGTGTACTGTAGAAATTATACTGGCTCATTTACTGCAACAACCAGTATTTGTTGAT